AGATGTGGATGGTAATCCCCAGGGCACCCAAGAAGAAAATAACACAATAAAATTAAAGCAATGACAAGGAAATTAAAATAGTACATGAGAAAATATCTATTTAATGCCAAAAAAGGAAGTAACAGAGAAACAAAAATGACATAAGATATACAGAAAAAAAAATAACAAAACGGCAGACATAAATCATACTTTATCAGTAATTACATTAAGTATAAATCAAAAGGCAGAGATTAGCAGAATAATCCACTATATGCTGACTACAAGAGACACAATTAAGATTCAAAAGCACAAATAGGATGGAAATAAAAGATGGGAAAAAGTGTATCATGCAACCAAAACTCAAACAAAACAAAACAAAACACTGCCATCAAGTCAATTCCAACTCATTGAGACCCCCGTTGGGTTTCTGAGGCAGTAAATCTTTGCAGAAGTAGAATGCCCCACCTTCCCTTTGCAGAGCAGCTGGTGGGCTTGAACCACCAACCTCTGGTTAGCAGTCAAACACCATAGGCACTGCACCATCAGAGCTCCTTATCATGCAACAAGTAACCAAAAAAAAAGAATTGTAGTGGCTACACTAATATCCTGGAAGGAAGATGGGGCAATCTACTTCTGTAACGATACCACCTCAGAAATCCAAGGAGGGGTTGCTATGAATTGGATCCAACTCGATGGCAGTAAGTTTGGTTTTTCGGTTTGACACTAATATCAGAAAACTAGTCTTTAAGAGAAAAATTATTACTAGAGACAAAGAGGAACATTTATAATGATAAAAGGATCAATCTATCAAGTAGCTATAACATTATAAACACATATGAAATAATAGCAAAGTCTGAAAATACGTTAAACAAAGACTAACAGAATTGAAGGTAGACATAAACTATTTAATAATGACAGTTTAATAATACTGGCCCACTATCAACAATGAAAAGGTGCTCTGGTAGTGTAGTGGTTAGAGCACTTGGCTGCTAACCAAAAGCTTGGTAGTAAGAACCCAGCAATTGCTCTGTGGAAGAAAGATGAGTCAGTCTGCTTCCATAAAGATTTACAGCCTTGGAAACCCAATGGGGATCACTACGAATCAGAATCGACTCGGTGGCAGTGAGTGTGGTTTTTGGTTTTCAATAATGGATAGACTAGGCAGAAGATCAGCAAGGAAACAGAAGATTTGAACAACCCTATAAGCCAAACCCACCACTCATCTGTCAGTTTGTCGTACTGTGGTGGCTTGCATGCTTCTGTGAGGCTGGAGGCTATGCCACCGGTATTTCATCTAGGTTGTCTAATTTATCTGTATGCTGCTTTAGCTGTATCCCATAACTTAAGGTATGTTGTATTTTTATTTTCATTCATCTCAATGTATTTTCTTATTTCTAGTGTTACCTCTGACCCATTGGGTTTAGAAGTGTGCTGTTTAATTTTCAGATATTTGTGAATTTCTCAATGTCTTTTTGTTATTAATTCCTAATTTCATTCCATTGTTGTCAGAATCATTATAATGATAAAAGGATAAGGTAGACAGGGACAAGGTAGACAGGTTTCAGCAGAGCTTCCAGACTAAGACTCAGAAGAAGAAAGGGACCATCCACTTCCCAAAGAATTAGCCAGTGAAAACCTTATAAATAGCAGTGAAACACTGTTGATATAGTACTGGAACTCTATGAATAGCCCTGAAACATTGTTAGCATTGGCTGCAACAATGAGCTCATGTACAGCAAGGATTGTGAGGTTGGTACAGAACCAGGCAGTGTTTCATTCTATTGTATAAAAGGTCACTATGAGTTGGAGCTGACTCAATGGCACCTAACAACAGCAACAACATAAATCAAATAGACCTAACACATCTGTAGAAGACTCCACACAACAGCAATAAAAGACACATTCTTCTTAAGTGTATATGAATTAGATCATCAACACATCAATACATTTAAAAGGATTAAAACCATATAAAACATGTTCTCCAACAACAATGGAATGAAATTAGGAATTAATAACAAAAAGACATTGAGAAATTCACAAATATCTGAAAATTAAACAGCACACTTCTAAAGCCAGTGGGTCAGAGATAACACTAGAAATAAGAAAATACATTGAGATGAATGAAAATAAAAATACAACATACCTTAAGTTATGGAATACAGCTAAAGCAGCATTAGAGGGAATTTATGGCTGAAACAGCTAAATTGAAAAAGATGATCTCTAATCAGTAGCCTAAGTTTCTACCTTAAGAAACTAGCAAAAGAAAAGAAAACCAAACCCAAAGCAAGCAAGGGAAAAAAATAATAGAGATTGGAGTGGAAATTAATAAAATAGAGAACAGAAACCAAAAGTTAGTTATTTGTCAGGATCTACAAAATTGGCAAACCTTACCTATCAAGAAAAAAAGAAAAGGCTCAAATTACTAAAATGGAGAATGAAAAATTATTACTGACCTTACAGAAATAAAAAAAGATTATAAGAGAATACTATAAACAATTAGGGAGTTCTGGTAGCATAGTGCCTAGGCACTTGCCTGCTAACCAGAAGGCTGGCAGTTCAAACCCACCAGCCATTCTTCTGAAGGAAGATGGGGCAATCTACTTCCGTAGTGATACTGCCTCGGAAACCCATGGAGGGGTCGCTATGAGTTGGGTCCAACTCGATGGCACATAACAACAATAAACAATTATATGTCAACAAATTAGATAACCTAGATAAAAAGGACGAATTCCTGGAAAGGCAAAAACTATTGAAACTGATTCAAGGAGAAATAGAAAATCTTAACAGACCAATGACAAGTAAAGAGACTGAATTTGTAATGAAAGAAGACTTCCCCCAAATAAAAAACCAAGGCCAAACAGCTTCAGTGGCGAATTCTACCAACCCTTCACAAATGCTTTCAAAAAATAAGAGAGGAAACACTTCCCAAAACATTCTATGAGGCCAGTATTGTCCTGATACCAACACCAAAGACAGCATTAGAGGAAACTACAGAAAAATATCCCTTATGAATATAGATGCAAACATCCTCAACAAAACAATGCATGCATGCGTGTGTATGGATTATATGTATACATACACACAGTTGATTTCTGTCAACCAGTTTTATATGTATAATTCATACACAAATTTTTTTGAACATTTTTTGTGGTTTGGCAAAACAGATTCCCATTCAACGATTTATATACATTTTGTTTGTGACATTAGTTACAGTCCCCTCAATGTAACAGCATTCTTCCCACTTCTTCCCTGTGTTCCCATTTTCACTTGCCCATTTTTCCTGCCCTATTCTGCCTTCTGAACTTTGTTTTTAGGCAAATGTTGCCCTTCTGCTCTTATATTGTTGGTTGTTCTAAGGAGCACATTATATATAGGTGCTTCATTCACTTTAATTGAAAAATGATCTCTGGTAGTGGGTTCAGTTCCAGGTATGAGAGGGGTCTAAGGGACATAGTCCCAGAGTTCCACCAGGGTCTGTCAGACCAGTAAGTCTGTTTGTTTGTTTTAATTTTATTGTGATTTGGGTGAAAATTTACAAGAGAAATTCATTTTCCATACATTAGTTCACATACTTTGTCTCATGACATTAACTGTAATCTCCCACAATGCAACAGCTCTCTTCCTACTTCCTCCCCATAACCACCTGTGTCCTTACCTCCCATGCACTCCTGCCCCCTGAGCTGTCCCTCCCTGTGCATACACACCCCTTCTATTCTCCCATGATTGATCTCTCCAAGGAATATATCTACCTAATGTAAACATTCAGCTCATATGCCTGTCTTTTGTTTGGCTGGAAGCCACAGGCATGGGTTCAATTCCAGACCTGAAGGACAGCTAGGGGCCATAGTCTCAGGGGTTCCACCAGGCTCTATCTGACCAGAAAACCTGGTACCCCCCCCCTTTTTTTATAATTTTCAGTTTTGTTCCACATTATTCTCCCACTCTAACCAGGGTCTCCTACATAGATCCCCTTCCAAGTGGGTTGACAGTGGTAGCCAGGCACCATCTAGTTCTTTTGGCCTCATAGTCATATAGGCTGAGGCTTCCATGGTGAACCAATTCCTTGGACTATTTATTTCCATGCCTCTTTGGTGTTCTTCATTCTTCTTTGCTCTGGATGAGGAGAGCCCCACTGTTGCATCTAGATGGCTGCTTGCAAGCTTTTAAGATCCTATTCACTACTCATCAAAGTAGGATGTAGAGCATTGTCTTCATGAACCATGTTATGCTGTGGTGGTTAAGTTGTGCCAACTTGGTTGGGCTTGGTTTTGAGTAGTTGGGCAGCTGGTTATAGTTAGTTACCATGATGTGACTGGTAATCAACTCCATGGTGGAATCTACTGGAGCAGCTGTTTCCAGTATATACGAAGAAGGTTTGAGAAAGGTCTCTGCAACTTATGGGCATTCTTGGACCCTGCATGTAGCCAAGTCTTCATGCAGCAGCCTGCCATGTTGCCTGATGATCTTGGGACTGTCTCTGGACTTGGACTGGTTGCCTGCCATACTGTTTGGTAATCTTGTTTTATTTGTTGACCTTGGGTTTGTCAGCCTCAGCAGGCAGCAGCTGCCTGAGTTAAAAGAAGCCTCCAGCTTCAGTGGCTAGGAGCAAGAGGCAGAGCTGAAGTTCAAGGTTGAGGGGCTGCCATCCAGCTTCTAGAGCTGGCACTTTGAACTTGGACTTATAGCCTCCTAAACTGTAAGACAATAAGTCCCTGTTGTCGAGCCATCCACCTGTGATTTTTCGGTCAGAGCAGGATTAGAGAACTCAAACATATGCACAATTTAATTTTAATGGAAATATGCTACACACTCTATTTGTCAACTTAGATTTTTTTATTTTGTGATAAAGTTTGTATATCTTCCATGTCATTACATATAGCTCTATAATTCCATTTTAATAGCTTGTGCAAATAATTGTTAACAATCTAATAAAAGCAAACCTTAACGTTTTTCTCCCAGAAATTAATCTTATATATATTATTTTAATAATTCAAGATTAATCTAACAATCAACATACTTACAGGATGCTTGAGTGTGCAGAGCTCGTATAAGACACATCCAAGAGACCAAATATCCCTGGAGAAAATAAGAGATAAATGCCAAGAATATCCACAAGTCTTAATAAAACTTTTTATCTTTACAGTGAATTACATTTGTGTAGCTTTAAAATTTTATATAGGTTGACCAATTTTAAAAAATGCTCTCAGATATATTTTAGTTCTTATTATTACTAAGTTAAGAGATAAAGATAATTTGTACTTTGTCAAAATCCTAGCAGAGAAAATGTATACAAACTTTGCTACCATCTGATGACTCAATATTTACTTCAGCTTAAGAAGCTCAAAGAAAATATATGTATGTATAGAATTTTGAACTATTTGGAGAACAAAGACAGAATTTAGAGATAGGTATGCTCGGATTCAAAATGTAAACTGTGGTTGGTTTAAAAGGTATATTCTACTCAAATCTCTGGCAAAACTCAAGTTAAATTAAGTGATGTTTGATATTCAATAAACTTTGAAAAATGTACTAACAATATATGACTCAAGCCTTGCTCTTTACAGACTTAGTATTTAGAAGTATTTATATTCAATTACCTTATGAAGGAGTGTTTTTTTTTTAGAGAACAAAAAGCATAATTAAATCTAAAAGACCAAAGAAAATATAATGAAAAATCAAAGAATGAGTCAAAACTCCAAAACAGGAAGGATTCATTCAGTATAGTGAAGTGAATGGCTCCACTAGTTATCAGTACTTCTGTGAGAGAGAGACAGAGAAGGGAAACTGACTTATACTAAAGGTTTAAAGGCAATAGAGGGTAATTAGGGAACAACGGCCAACTGAATATCACATATTTTAGTTCTAGAAACTCACTGACCATTTCCTACCACACAGAATGTTTTTTTCTGCTCTGCCTTCAATTGGCCTCAGAGCATCTTTTCTAGCCAGGGTGGTGAATTTATAGGCCTACAGGGGTCAGGGCAGAGACCAAGACTCAGTGAAAACATACACACACTTTATTTTATCCTGTGGAGTCACTGGATGGTGCAAATGGTTAATACATGACTGCCAACTAAAAAGTTGGTTGTTCAAGTCCACCCAAAGGTACCTTGGAAGAAAGGTCTAGTGATCTACTTACAAAAAATCAGCCACTGAAAACCTGTGGTGGACACTTCCAGCCAGATGGCAGACTAAGAAGGCATGCTACTGAGACCCTCTACAAAAAAGGACCTAAGAAACCAAATCAAACAGATAAGGATGATAATCCTGGAATCCTGAACTTTAAAGGAAAAGAAAAGACATAGATCAGATACGAGTAAGAAGACACTGAACAATAAACAGTTAACAAGGAGACATGGGGAGTAGTCAATTGTCAACTAGCCCCAGCACAGTGTGGCCATTTTGAATGATTACAAGCAGTATTCTGACGGAGGCAGATAACTGGCTTCACTCACCCAAGGCTGGTGGCTGACAACTAGAAAGGTGTCATCTCTCCCTTATTCCCTACACTATCCTGGTGACCAGAAGTGTGGCCACCCCCAGTCCTAACCACTCAGTGGATGGAGACACCCTCCCACACCACCCTTGACCCACCTCAGGTCAGAGGTGTGCCCTTGCAGGTCAGAGACCGTATACACAACACCTTCACATTTGGAGGTGTATGCTTTCCAACTCCTCCACCAGCAGAGGGTGCCACCAGAGACCAGGCATCCCACCCCTCACCACTTCTGCAGTCAGCTGTGAATGCCACTCCAAACAAGGTGCCCCACCCCTTGCTACCTCTGTGGCTGGCATAATGCTCTCACCCAAAACAGAGGGCCTACACCCCTGCCAGCCCAGCTTCTTTCTTTTTTTCCCTCTTTCTCATCCCTCATTTTTCTTTCTCTATCTCATTCTTTATCCTTTCTTTTTTCTCCCTCTTTCTCTCTCTTTTTGTTTTTCATTCCCTTGTGTTTTGTTTGTTTGGTTTTGAGGGGTTGTTGTTGTTGTTGTTGTTGCTGTTGTTTTGTCCTATCTGGGAGTGGTGGTGCAGAAACAATGTCCACACTAGCCAGCCACACCTGCTGATCCTATCCTGCAGCCCCATCCACTGGGTGAGTGCCACCACCTGTTCTTGCTCTACTTGATCAATGACAAATGACAGCCAAAACCAACCCAGCCTGCCCTTAACTGCTCTACATGAACAAAGAAAAGAGAATGCACACACGCCAATACTCTACCACAACCAAGACAGGCAGTGAGTGCCTTAGACCTGCCAAAGCAGTGAAGAGAACAGCACACCTGTACCACCTGCCTGAATATACCAAAACAAAATAAAGCAAGAAAACCTGGGCAAAACATACCAACTTACATTTATCAATTACATACATATACAAAAACACTACAATATCTCTGAGACAACACACAACCTCAGTTCACAGAAAGAAACAAGACAGGGTGGCTCAAATAAGTGACCAAATTACAGAGCCAGAAAACTTTCCTGAGGAATAAATGGTATTGGAAATACCTAGTAAGGATTTAAAAAGAATTATACTCGGGTCTCTTCAACAGACTGACAGGGAGAGCAAGGAAAACAGATAAGATGAAAGAAAACAAAAACAAAACTCCAGAAAAATTCATGAAAATAATATAAGAACAAATTGATGAAATAAGTGGGAAATTAGAAACCATACAAAAACAGCAAATAGAAATATAGAAGATTAATACTAAGATTTCAGAAATAGGTAATGCATTGGAATCACAAAGGATTAGAAGTGAATCAATGAAGGAATTGGTAAAACTAAAGACAAATCTTTCAATACTAATCTGTTAGAGGAACAATCAGAAGAAATAATGAAACAGAAGAGAGCCAAAGAATTACATGGTACATAACCAAGAGGAATAACTTATGTGTGGTTAAGAACAGAACAGAAAGAGACAA